TCTCTCTCTCTCTCTCTCTCTCTCTCTCTCTCTCTCTCTCTCTCTCTCTCTCTCTCTCTCTTGCGGTGCTGGTTTGAGGCCGTGCATGCACGGCAGGGCCTGATCCCTAAAAGCATGTTGATCAGTAACTACTGTGAGGCGCCTGGAACCCGCGGGAAGTTGGCCCACCGGGAGTAGTGGTGGTGGGTCGCGTGGTGTCCGAGCGGATTGTGTTTTGATTGCCATGTCGGTGGTGTGGTGCTGTGTGTGTGGTGTGAGTTCAAGGACGCCACAGCCCTGGGGGTGGGCTGGATGGATCCAGTTGTTTTTAACACCTCCAAGGGTTGTAGTGGTTACGAGACTTCGTTCCTGTGGCTGAGAGTGCCGGTTCGTGGTGTGCGTGCGCGGTGGGGCCTGATGCCCTAAAAGGACGTTGATCAGTAACTACTTCTGTCGCTCTGTGGACACTTTTTTTTTTAATATATGCATATAAAGGTAAGCTATATTCTTCTCTCAATTTCACCTCTCACAACCTACCTACCGCTGCTCCTAAGCTTATACAGGGGACCCCTGCAAGCATAGCTACCTCTTACAATCAAGGGGATGCAAGTTGCCGCCCCCCCCCCCCAAGCCCTAATTGGCTGTGGTCAGGGAGTAAGGTGGGTAACACAAAGACCAAGCCTTTTGCCAGTAGCTGCTTCCATCTACTTCTCCCGCCCCCATCGAGTAACAGCAGTGTTTATGGCCAACACTCGCACACACACACACGCACGCACGCACGCACACACGCACACACACACACACACACACACACACACACACACACACACGCACACGTGATTGATGCCCGAAGGCCCTACCCATACCGACAGGGGGGAGCAATCCAATTATCTCAGTTAGTTGGCATTTAGTGCGCACAAGCGGTTAAAAAGGACCCCCACTTTTCATCCCTGGTTAATCCCCCCAGCACTGAAAAGTGCATTTGGGGATTTTTTTTTTCAGCTTTTTTTTTTTTGCCCTGTTTTATTTTGCGTGTGCCGAGTTTGTTGTTTGTTGGAGTCTCGGAGATGGGTATAGTATAATGGTACATGGATACTGACGAGCAGCATACAAATAGCGCGTTCGCGCTCGCACCACACAGTAGAGTAACGCAGTATGAGTCAATGGTGTTAACCGCCGTAGATTCCCAACAACCCCAATTCCACCGAACATCCCGTCAAACCCCATCGCTTCACTCTCCGCCGTCGTCGAAACAACGGTGTTCGAACGGAGCGCTACACCAAGAGGACTAACATATCCTAGCTACTCCTATTTATGGTGTGTGCACAGCCTATAGTCTATCCCAAGCCCATCGGAGAAAAACTCGAGAAGACCCATGGTCCTATTAACATCCAAGTACAGTAATGGTCGTAGTTGATCAACTGGCTCCAAAAAAATGGGCCCACTAGTCAAACCACACATGGAAAAACAGAACTCGGTTCGTAACGGGACAAAACTGCGAGGGCTCAAATCCAGAGAGAATCTGCTATTGAGCTCTGAAATACTAAACCAAGAGGCTGCCGGTTATCAGGTTCCAAAAGGCCGGATGGGCCAGCTGGCCCGTTCAAAACTGACGAAAACATAAGTCCATTACGGACAAAACTGCAGTACCTCTTGGAGATCACTGTTTTGGTCAGCCCTGAAAATCCTTTTTTTTTTTTTTTATTAACACCCCCTTCAGTGCTGGTGGTGCTGATAAGAGCAGACACCACTAGCAATGTTGGAGAGGCTCCATCTAGTGGTGGGGAGCATTACCTGCTGGAAAGCGGGTCCGGCGTCCCATTTACAGAATGGCCTTGGATGGCCTTGGATGGTATCAGAACAGGAATCTTGGGAGGTACCTGCCAGCATTGATTACTCTGGAGTCCAGAGGATTGACTGAGCAGGTCATTGGAAAGAGGGGAGAGAACCTCTTCGGCCTGTGCCAGGCGCCAGATAATCCGCTATTACCCGCCAGTTTCTTCCCCCCCCTCTTTGTCCACTCGGGCAGTAATATAGATGAGGAGACTAGACTTTTTAAGATGGCTGTATACAGCATTGTAAAATCAGTATTTCCGCCTTGACCGCTTCAGCAATTTTGACCACCGCCGCTGTCCATAGTCTTCCGCCTCGTGTCTGCGGGGACCATCCACCCCCAGGGGGCACCAGGGGCGGATTCTGCCCTCTGAGTATCAGATAAGGGTTTCTACCAAGGAGAGAAATCCTGAAAGTGAAAAGAGCGAATTTTGCATGAAAACCTAGGTTACCTGATCGGACGTCCGGGACCCCGCTGACTGTCCGGGGTTGTCCGCTCGGATGTCCTCCCCGGGCAGTCTGTCCAAGTCCGAACGCGCGCGTGCGCGAAAAAAAATAAAAAAATAAAAAAAAATCTGAGTAAGGACGCCGCCCGGCCGGGCCTGCCCTGCCGGGCTGGGCCCAGCTGGTTGGGCCCGGGGGGGCCACCCGGGTAAACCGGGCAGGACAAAAAACCGGGCAGTTGTCTGTGATGGGGTGCAGATACTTTTTTTTTTTTTTTTTTTTTTTCAGTGAGTACACAGTGATCACCTG